AATGACTTACATGTTCAGAAAATCTTGGTATATAAGAGACATTTTAATCTCCTAGTATTTTATACACACACACACACACACACACACACACACACATCCCTATATGCACACAAAAATAGGATTTGTCTTCTTACATGATGATCTTGTGGTAGTTAGTCAAGAGACGCCCGTCATAATAGGCAATGTACTCAGTGTCCTTTCTGCTCTTCTATGATGAAAGTGGTTATCAGGCTTGCAGAGAAAACAGGAGACAAATAACACATAAAATCCTGCTTTAATATGGTCAAAGAACAGCCTTCTCTACTCAAGGTAAAGCAAAGAACATTTTAATAATTTATGACTTAGCCCAATTTTAAATATGTAATCCCTAAGGCAAAATGGCTGTTGATTTGCTCACATTTGTTGCTCATGACTAAACAAAAAATGAAAATGCTAAATAACAATAGTGTTAGGACAACTTATCAGAATTCAAATATTTTCTAATTGTTGCCTGGTGATGCCTCCATATATATGACTACATATAGAAAATAAAGCTGATAGGAAATACTTAATATGGAAATGTATGTATGTATTTATTTATTTTAATATGGAAATTTATTTTAATCTCTAAGCTAACTCTCTGGTACTTCTCCCTCTCTTCTGTTTCTCTCTATCTTTATCCTTTATTTTATAGAGACAGTTTCAGCTTGTAGTATTTAAATAAACATGAGATAGTCAATTTTCTGTGTCAACTTGGTTAGGTTATAGCTCCAATTAATTAGCTCAAATACTAATCTAGGCATTGCTGTGATGATGTCTTCTAGATATTATGATCAAAGTCCAAAATCAGTTGACTTTAAGGAGATTATCTTCTATAATCTGGGAGGGCTTGATTTAATCTGCTGAAAGGTCAAGAGCAAAAGCAAGGCTTCCCTGAGGTAGAAGAAATTCTAGCTGTAGAAAGCAGCTTCTAGAACTCTTCTAGAGTTCCAGTTGCCTGTACTATGGATTTTGGATGCTTAGCCAGCCCTCACAACAGTTTAAGCCAATTCTGCCCAATAAATCTCTTCATATATATCTTCTATTGGTTCTTTCTCTTAGGTTGAGTCCTGACAGGTTAAAAAAAAAAAACAACAACAACAAAAAACCATTAGCTGTATTTTAGATTCTTCCTATATCTCCCTATATTGATGTTCAACATAGTGTATGAGAATAGAGAGAGAGGAAGCAGATACCTGATTGTCAAATTGCTCACTCAGATTTCCTCTCTTAAATTAGAGAGGGAACAGATGACAGGAAACTCACAACCAGTTAAATAAGGACACTATGTAAAGCTAATTCGAGGTTCAAGCCTCCAAGCTGCTTAAAAGATCCACGTACATGGTCATAGAGATAAAAGTTTGGAGTATTAATTATGCTCATTTTCATTTACCAAAATGACAAACAATAGTTACTTGTATTTTTTAAAATCTACTTTAGAATTTAGTGTGCCGAAAATAATGGCTAGTGAATTTTTTAGGTAAAGATAGAAATCTTCAGACAGAATGGAATTATACCTCTTTTCCATCACTAGGTAAATATACAAAATTGTACACATTCCAAATGCAATTAACTATTAGGATCTACAGTCACACTAACCATTAGCAGCTACTTGAGGAGTAGTTCTATGTTGTATGTTGTATGTTCTATGTTGTAGGGGAAGTGGTAAAAAAAATAAGAGTCAAGAAGTAAGGAAAATTGGAGCATTTGCCTACCTGTGATTTAGGCCTGTGTAGAAAGCCATCTGCTGGCAAGGGCATATCTGTCCACTGCTCTTTAACTGTTGAAATATCAACAAAGAGTCCTGGCACATTTATATGCAGTTTGGCATATCTGGTTTGAACTAGGAGGAGAGTATGGAGGATGATAAGAAATCAGTTTACCCCTGAAGGGAATGGCTCTGCCTCTGGGAAGGTAGGAGGAATTCCCAGTGGGAAGTATGTCCCAGGAAAAGGGGTCCCTATGACTTGATAGCATCACCACTCTACAGAACTTCAAAGTCACTCTTGCTGGGAAGACTGTAGATACCTTATGTCTGCATGAGAAAATGGTAATGATGGAGGGTACTGGGGATTCATCTGGGGATGAAACATCAATTAATGTGAAAGGACAGTTGTCACTTCACAAAATTTTGATATTAACCATGTTTTATCACTTTACATCTTGGCACTTGTCTAGTTTGGGTTCTCTAGGAAGCAGGTGTTGATTTGAAGTTATGAGTACAAGAGAATTATTGGGAATTAACATCTGTGAAAAAAAAAAGAATTGGGCAGGGAGAGTCCTCACAACATACTACAAAGTCAATAAAGTCTCTGCCAGTTTAGCAGGGAGTTTGGAAGAAAAGATTGTCCCTTAAAAGGGTCAGTGTCAGGCAAAAGGGGCTCCATTTGACTGACCACCACCAGTCAATGGTCAGATGCCATCCTGAAAATAATACAACCGCAGGTTGAAAATTGACAACTGGACAAAACAGCTGGAGGTTGTTGCTTAGTCACACTCCTTGCAACTGGTCACAGAATATTTTCTTGACAGGGAATCCAGGCACTTTATCTCCGTATCTGCCCCAGTACTGCAGTGTGGCACTAGTAAAATTTTGGGTGGCTGAGTATTTGAAGATGAAAACTGATTAGGCCAGAACAAGAGGTGTTTGTGAAGTGCGTTAACATTCTAAATTTACACTTGCAGTAGATTATATAGTGGTGCATGACCAACAATTCCCTAGGTAATTAGAGTTGTCACCACCAAAACATTAGGGACTGAATATATTGGATGTTGTTAAAAGCTTCTAAGATGGTAAGAATATCGTTTCTACCATTTCATGCTCCCAGTGGGACAATGCAGGGCTTCCACTCGTGATGGCCTATTACAGGCCGCACTGACTTAGTTGTGCAATGGGCAAAAGGAGCTCAGAGTGGCTCTTTTTGGAATGATGAGAAAGCATCATTTATTTCATATAAATCAAGAAGGTGGGATTTAAGAAAGTCAGATTGGCTCTTTGTGATACATCACTATGGGGGGGGTGTATTTTATGCTTAATACAGTGGAGACTGGAGTGTGTGACCACTTGCTAATGATTTGGCTTTGGACAAGTTCCTGAACCTCTTGGTGCCTTAGCTTCCTGATGTGTTAAACAAGGATTATAGTCGTGCCTACATCATAGAGCTCCTGTGAGGATAAAATGACAGAACACATGCAGCCCCTGGCTTGGGAAAGGCTTAATATCCATTAGCTGTTATTTTACTTCTTTCCTCTTTTTCTCTTCGTCTTCTTCACTGAAAAAAAAATGCTTTCTGTTGAATTTTGTCATCTGCTATCTAGATTAGCAAAATGCTCACAAAACTGAGGAGTAGGGTAAAATTGAAAGAATCTGGTGCTTTAACAGAATTCAGGATGACAGGTTTTGGTTTTTGGTTTTTGTTTTTCACCATTATGTTCTCAGTACTGTTCTGGATGTGCTAGGTGTAAAAAATGGCCTCTGCCCAGAGCAGTCGTCTATTTGAAAAACAACAAATGGGCACATAAATGATTAATGAAAACACAAGCACATATAAAATTAGGTTCTAAAGGAACAGTACAGACCAAGTGATGTAGGACTCTTAATTTCATTTTGCTATCTGTTTAAATACTGTGTGATATCATTTGGGGTGAAATTGCGGTGACCTCTTGTACAGTAATATAATAAAATGTTCTGTTTATTGTCTTCGAATCTAAAATACATGAATTTATATAAAAGAAAACAAGTTTAAAGACATTTAAGTATATTATTGCCTCCTTTTAACGTTAGCCTATTCATCTATTCACTAGATGTGTGAAGATGGTAAAAATAGAAAGCACTGGTCAATGCTTTCAATAAAACTATCAAGAAGGCTTAAATTTTTTTAGTTGATGATTTCTCAATGAGTTTGTTTTTATGTATTTTTTCTATTTTAACTAGTTGGATCAGGCTCATTCAGTGGCCTTTTTCATTACAGGACTCTCCTTTGGAAATTCAGAAAGGGAGTAAAGTAAAAGAGATAGCTGGACCAGATTAAGTGGGATCATAGTTTTCGGGGTACAGAAAGGAGGTTAAGAGGTACTTTACTTTGTCCCATCATACTCTTCTACCCGCTAGTAAAACATGCTTTGTGGCCTTTGGGAGATACCCTCATATAGTAGGTCACGTGTGCCTAATCGGACCCTAAGACTGTCTTAACAATGTTGCAAACCAAGTGATTTCTTACTGTTATATCCTTCGTCAGTATTCAAGTACGATGACAAAATCGTCCTATTTTACTTCCTTGTTTTCTTGTATCCTTCCAGTAACCTAGGGCTCAGAGGCCTCCTTCCTTGGCGCGATATGAGAGTGTGGTTCAAGGGGCGCCTGGGTGGCTTAGTCGGTTAAGCGTCGGACTTTCCCTTAGGTCATGATCTCTCGGTTCGTGGGTTCGAGCCCCGCGTCGGGCTCTGCGCTGACTGCCAGCTCAGAGCCTGGAGCCTGTTTCAGTCTGTGACTCTCTCTCTCTCCTAGAAATAAATAAAACATTTAAAAAAAAATAAAGAGAGTGTGGTTCAAGAGTCCCTGTTAGGTTGTTCAATCTCATACTACCAAGAGGGGTACAAAACAGTATTTAAAAAGATTTCCTTTACCTAATGATTTTGAATGAGCGTTTTAGGAACGTCTTAGAGACGGATCTCCCTACATTGTCCTGGCCTGGGTGAGCACTAAGAGGAAGTGTTGGGTAAATAAATGGGTGACCCATCCTGAGGTGTTCTAGGAATTCGTTCCCTTCTTCCTGTGTCTGCGTGGTGTGATGGTGTACCGCCTGTGCCTGCGCCGAAACCCGTCCAATAGAAAAGGCCTATCAAGGACGGTGATGTTTTTTTTCCGTCCCTTTTGCCACCGCCCACTCCTGACAAGCTGACAAACTAGACAGTTCCCCGGACTTGTCTTACTTTTCCATCTCCTCCCACCCAGCCAAATCCCCCAGCTCGCGACGCGAACCGGACGCCGGAAGACCCAACGAGCATGCGCGACCACTGCGAGCATGCTCAGTAGCTCGCGCGGCGTTCCGGAGCTTCACCGCGCGGCGGCCGACGCGGAGGTTTCCGCGGCTGCTGCGGGAGCTACAGGAAGTGAAGCGGCCCGGCCGGGAGACCGCGGCGGCAGAAACAGCGGCGGAAGGGGCGCTGCGGCGAGGACGTCGTCAACGGGGGTGGACGAGGGGTCCGAGCACCGAGGGGACCCGCCGGCTCGGAAGCCGGATCCCGAGCCGGGCAGGATGGATCATCACCAGCCGGGGACTGGTCGCTACCAGGTGGTGAGTTCCTGCGCCCCCCGCCCCGGCCTTCTGCGCGGCCTGGGACCCCGGGACCGCCTCCCGCCCTGGGCCCGGGAATCCCCTTCCTCCGGCTAAAAACTGCCTAATTCTTTTTTTTTTTTCCTCCCTTAACGCCTTTCCTTGTGGAGTTTGCCTCTGACTCTTTCGAGATCCTTTCCTCTCTACCGCCCTACCCCTCACCCGCACCCTATGTTCCGCTGTAAGATACCCTTCGCCCCCCTTCCTCAAACTTCTATTTGTTTTACTTCTCACCGTCTTGATCATTTCCTTATTTCCTGATCCAGTCACTTCTGAGACATTTCCAGTGGATTGTCTGCTGGAAATGTGCTGGGGAGAGGATCGCCGTCAAACATGGAGCGGGGGGGGGGGTGGAGGAGATGTAAGCACAATGTAAGGTGGGATGTGGATTCGGTGAAAAATGTGGGTTGACAAATTGTGTAACAATGGAGAATGGTGGTGCTGATCTTGTGTCTCAGCTCTGGTTAACCTTGTCATTTTGTCCTTTTCCATTTTGTTAGTGTTAAGACTTTATTTCTATCCTCACTTTTGGGGGGGGAGGGGAGCGGTGGGGCAGGAGAGGAAAGAAGTTTTGCTAGGAAAAATGAAAATCTTGTTTGAAAAATTATTTTTCATTAAATACAAGGTTTTCCAGTTCAACCACATAAATCTTTGTATGTTGTGAAAAGTGTTCCTGTATATTTTCAGTGTCAGTTTCTCTAATGTAGTTTTTCCTGTAGTTTGAATTCTGGTAGCGTCTTGGAGATTTCTGTTCTAAACCCTCTTTAAAAAATGGGCTCAGCTATAGTTGACTCTTTTGTAGTAGTTAGATAGCATGTTACAAACTTTCATGTGGTAATTAAACCTTTTCACTAAGGAAGAATAGGAAAACATTACTATGTAGCATTGATGGTGTAATTAATAGTGCTGTTTGTGAAGTTTTGCAGATGTAGATATATTAGTGCAGATTTCACCTCTCAAATATATATTTGCAAATGTGAGACTTAGTTATGAACAAAGAATTCCTATCATTACAAAGAATTTCTAACAGTAAGTGGATTTTGACAAAATATGAAGGCTATTGAAAAAAGAACTTCCAATGTGTGCAGTTTTGGATTTTTCTAAGATATAAACTCATGATGCTTCCATTTCATCCGGTTTACGTCCTGTAAACCTTCAAATGATCTATATTACATTTTGTGAAAATATCAGTATTTTTAGAACGGTTTAGAAAATATTGTTGCCACTATGGAAGGCATTTTTCTTTTCATTTTTTTTTTTAATGTTTATACTTTTGAGAGAGAGAGATCGAGAGATCGAGAGACTGAGCATGAGCAGGGGAGGGGCAGAGAGAGAGAGAGAGAGAGAGAGACAGTGTGAAACAGGCTCCAGGCTCTAAGCTGCCAGCACAGAGCCTGACGCAGGGCTCAAACTCATAAACCATGAGATCATGACCGGAGCCAAAGTGGTGGGATGCTTAACCTACTAAGCCACCAAGACACACCCCTTGGTAATTTTCTTAAAAAGACATTCTTGTTTTTGCAGATGTTAGCTAAAATAAAATGCAGTAAATATTGAATACTCTTTCCAGTGTCTTTTTTCTAATCTTTCTTATTTCTGTTTATTCTCTTAATGGCATTAGCTAATTTGAATTCTTTCTCTTTGGGGTTTTGCTTATGAGAATCAGCCATATTCTCGTACACAAGTCACTACTCAAAACATTTTTTTGGTCTTTATTTTATTTTGAGAGACAGAGACAGAGAGTGAGCGGGGGAGGGGCAGAGAGAGAGGGAGACAGAATCTGAAGCAGGCCCCAGGCTCTGAGCTGTCAGCACAGAGCCCCACTTGGGGCTCGAACCCACGGACTGTATATCATGACCTGAGCCGAAGTTGGATGCTTACCTGACTGAGCCACCCAGGTGCCCCTCAAAACATTTTTAATTGATGTAGCTGTGCCGTAAAATAATTTGTCACATTTGCTTTCAGTAATTATGAACCAGTGACTTAATTATTACTGGGAAAAAAAAATCCTAACATTAATGTATTGAAATTTACTCACCCAGTTTTAAGATTTTTTTTTTCTTTATCCCTACAACTCCTTTCACAATAAATGGACAATATCACTTTATTGAATTTCCCCTCCCAACCCCCCCTCCCACCACCCAGAGTTATGTCCTACATAGACTTTGAAATGGACTGAATGGGTAGAAGCATTCCTTCAGAGCCGAGGGCAAAAAACTGGTTCTTGTAAAGATACTATTCATGGTAGGATATCAGTTATTTTCCTTGTAAGGCAAAATGTTTGAGAATTACAGTTTAAATTTGGATTTTAATTCCTGTTGGTTTGTAATTGCATAGCTATTTCATCTGTCTAGTATAACTCTGGGTTTTATTGAGAATGGCTTGATAAATAACTATAGGTGTTCGGAAGAAGCAGCTGAATTGTCTAGTAGACTCTTTGGGGAAACATCTGCAGCTCTGGATTATATGATGAACACAACTGCTGTGTGCCTGTCTTTAGCTCAGGTTTTCTTTGAAAACTCTGGATTGATTAATAAATTATTGAGCAATAAATAATTTCAAGTGTTGAATGTTAAGAGCTAAGTAGGAGACAGGCAGATATGCTTAGGGGTAAAATAGTCTGTAATGTTAATTTATCACTTATTGATAGAGTTAAAATTTAGCTTTCCATATTGGAAAGTTAGTGGTGGTGACCATCAGAATGACTCACGACCATTAATCAATGTACACGTTTAATGTGGAAACTGCTTTTTCTGTGATATTTTCTTCCCTTTGGTTGTTATAGGGTTCTGAATTTTGTTAAGTAAAGCAGTGGATAATAATGTAGAGCTACAAAAAGCCTGAATTGTTACCCTTCTAATTTTAGCAAAAGCTAGGTGTGCTATGTGGTTTCTTTGTGTTATCGGAAATTAAGTTTTGTTTGGTAAAAAATGAGCAATGGTGCCCAACTATGTAGTTCACTTGGCTTGGAGCTGTTTGGCTACATTTCTAACTTTGATGTTTTCTATTTTAAAGGATTATGTACCTATACCAAGCTGACTACTGAGGTTTCAAAGATGTTCTGTATACAGGTTAAGTTGGCACTGTTGATTGTAGCAGGAGTTTCCCAAATTTTTCCAGAATGATGGTAATAGATGGTCTTAGAAGATTTGTGGTATATATTAGCATGTTAAAACATGTATTTGCATATTAAAACCATGAGAAATTCTGCAGTAAAGACAGTGGTTTAGATTTGTTTAACCTATCTGTTCCTAAATTTTGATCACAGATTTTTAAAGAATAATTTAAGATTAACATTTCCAAAATGTTAGTTTTTTGTGAACCTATTGAAGTATTCATACTGTAAAGATCTAGTCTGGTCTTGTATCTGGAGAATTAGAGTTGTCCTTGCTAAAGCAGGGAAGGGATTAACTGTTGATGACTAAAAAAACAAACATGTTTTAAATTTTTAAAAATGTTTTTATTTCTGAGAGAGAGAGAGAGAGACAGAGAGAGAGTGTGTAAGCAGGGGAGGGTCACAGAGAGAGGGAGACACAGAATCTGAAGCAGGCTTCAGGCTCTGAGCTAGCTGTCAGCACAGAGCCGGACTGGGGGCTCGAACCCATGAACCATGAGATCATGACCTGAGCTGAAGTCTGACGCTCAACCTACTGAGCCACCCAGGCGCCCCTAAAAAGCAAACATGTTTTAAAGTCATCTGAACTTTAGGTTGTGCTGTTTACAGTTTGTGAGCCCTTACCTTAGTTAATTTATTTAGCATTTTGAAGCCTCAGTTCTGTCGTATCAGTACTTACCTCATAAGGATTATTATGAGAATAATACGTTGTAATATATGTAAAAGATGCAATAGAAATTGTTACATGGTAAATAAATACTATGAATAACATAAGGTATATAAACTATGAAATGTTATATATGTTTTTGTTTGTGACCACTTTTGTATCTTTTTGTAAACAGCAGCAGGAATAGCAACTACTTCTTTGTTGCCCCCTCAAGTACTGTGAAAAGTTTTAAGATTTGATTTTATCCTATTTACTGTTTAAGACATTTATTTGTTAATGTTTAATGGTTCATGGTTAGTACCGGAAAACAGGAGACTCCCAGATCAGAAACAAATAGTATTATTACTCATAGCACAGCGAGCTGCATGAATGTCAGCATATTTGGGTACATTTTCCTTGCACCCATGTCCCATTAAAGTGATGGGTCTAGATAGATGCACTTAGTGGGTCACAGCAGAGGAACTCAGGACCTAGCTCTTAGCACTTCAGCAAGCAGCAACATTGTAGCAAGCAACAAAAAAGCTAGTTCACCTCCCCCTCCAGTATAGTTGTGTGTTCTGGTAACCTTGACCTTCTTTGTTGCCTAGGTGACTTAATTACAAGAATCCACTCAGTACCAGGAAATAGATAAGTTGTGCAGACTTTCACACTCAGCAAGACTGTGCAGAGACACTTAGGCCCATGGCGGACTGCCATACCCAATAGCACATGTTCTGGATGAGATAATACATGGGAGTTTTTAGGTGTAGTCATTTACTTTTGTTTTCCATGCTGAAGAAATATTGCAGTCTTTTACCTTATGTTGCTGTCTAGTTTTGCCTTCTTTTCTTGGCTCAGCTCTGTTCCTTTGGTCCTTAATTGTTTGTTTCCTTTGAATTTATCAGGATTCTTTATCTGGTTTATATTCTTAACCACACCACTTTTACATCATCAGAGTTGCCCATTGCTTAATCCGGTAGATATTTTTCAGTTCTCATCTTCCTTGATTTCTATTACATTGACCCTGGGAATTTTCTCTTTGAAACTCGTTTCTTATTCCTGAGAGGAAGAAGCTTACTATTTTTTTTTAATTTTTATTTATTTTTGAGAGAGAAAGAGAGAGAGAGACAGACAGACAGCGTGAGCAGGGGAGGGAGGGAGAGAGAGAGGAAGATACAGAATCTGAAGATAGGCTCCAGT